GGGTACATCTTCTTCATCCACAAAAACCAACTCCTCATCTTCATCTTCACAATCGGAATCTAAAGCACCTAAATTCAATCCAGAACTGCATACAACATTAGTAAGATGTTGTATCTGATAGCATAAGACATGTTGTACGTACTCTGATGATTCAGCAGGTTGAGGCAATGGAGGGCCATCATGCGCTGTAGACGGCGCACTCCGTGGTAGCGGGTCTGCTATTCTTGCCGTTGGCTGTGGTCTGCTAGTCTCGCCGTGGGTGGTGGTACGTAGTAAAAGACTTGCAGGTGTAGCCAGGTCGGAGTTCGCTCCCGAAGTAGCTGGTGTGACAGCACGCTCAGCTCGGCGGCTATCCGAGCTCGAACCGCAATATAAAACATAATAATAACTTGTGAGTCCCCACAGAGCAGAAACATGTTGTAGGTAAACATGTTGTACATACCTTTCCTCACTGTCATTCGTTGCTATGTGTGGTGATCCCCAGCGTTTTGGTGAGTTCGATCCCATTGCCGTTGCTGTCTTCCGCCTCTTGTTCTTCCCTTCCAAGCGCTTACGAGCTGCAGACTTTGCTTCCTTCCCAGCACGTTGCTGCTCTGTGGCTTTGTCTTGCGCCGCTTTCACCTTGGCCGCCTTTGCAGCAGCAACTGCGGCTTCTCTTACTTCTTTTGCTAGCGTACGTGCGCTCTTCTTCCTCGGTTTCTTCGCAGCTGCTGTGGCCTTACTTGCCTCCTTCGTTGCGACTGTGGATTTCTTTCGCGAAGCTTTCGAAGTCTTTGCCTGGCCTAAACAAAAGGAAGCATTAGCACAGTGAGCCACCACAGTTCAAAAACATGTTGTATGTCATCATGTTGTACCTCGTGTAGCATCATTTCGGCCTCGGACCCTTTTTGTGACTCAGCATAGAAGCCAGCGCTGCCGTAGCCCTCGTCTTCGCATTCATCATCGTCTCCTTCTTCGTCGTCTTCGTAGTCTTCATCTTCGTCCGACGGCTCATCCACTAGTTTATTCCTCGGGCCAAGTCGCTTCTTGTCAGACCCAGCCACTGTCTTTGCGGCTAGTGCACGACGGGTCATCAATGCAGAGTGCTTGTTGGCACGCATATACGATGCGTCTTTTCCAGTTGGTGGGACCCAAGCGCGTGGTTGTCTGCCCTGCTGTGAAGTCTGTTTGCGCGCAGACGAGAAGTCAGCGTCCGTCGGGCGCTGGCCGTTCAGATACTGCTGGTGCTCCTTCAAAATCCGCAAGCGGTCGCCATCGTGCGCTCGACTAAGTTGCTCCAGGAATGCTTGTTTCTCAGCTCGCGTTTCATGGCGCGACGTCATTCCAACTTCCCTCTCGCTCCGCAAATTCTTGACTGAAAGTGTGTTCTTCTCCGCCACTCAAATTTATCCTCATAGACAGGGCATTGATGAGTGGATTCCGTCGCCCGTTTTATTCAGATACATTCTATTTTTTGAACAAATTGAACCTAACCCTGTACATCGAACTTTTTTATGAGGGATGTGCTTATACTTGGTTTTACTATATTTTCGCTATTTTTCGAGCCAATCCCTATACAAACATGTTGTACGTACAACATGAATTCATGTTGTTTTATACAACCTTGGTCATTGGTGGGTTCAGGGAGAAGCCCATCTGCCTCCAGATCAGACGCATTGCTCCGACAGCGAGAGTTTTGGCCCGCGTTGAGATCCTCTGAATGACAGTTTTTCCGCCGAGTAGCGTTCCTAGCCCTCCACTCCAGATACAGTTTTTTTTCGATATCACTGCTTCAAACTCGTTTCTGAAGAAAGTTATGCACTTGACGATATCTCTGCCGCATAAGAAAAGTGGCGGAAGAATCATCCCATAATGCGCACAAGCGTGCTAATCCAGACGTATTTATATCAAATAGGGACCTTTGGTTATCGTTCCAAGGCACCGTAACCGCGATAATGTATCTGGCAAGTTCATCCATTTTGTATCGACCGTTTGCTTTACGAGAAACTGGCGGAGGAGACCGTCCTTTAAACATCGGTGTTAATATCGTCGCTCGTATCACAGTTTCGTATTGTGAGTAAAGTGGGTGTTTAGGATCCAAATCAAAGATATAACGGCGTTTACGGCCGCGTAAAGACGTCTCTCCTGTGGCGTTTTGACGAGGTATAATGTCAACGATGCATGCAAATTCTTTTGGCGAATAGTCCACAAAGTGAATCCCACGGAATTTATATGACTCCACTTGAGTAACAAAAGGAAGCTTCCCATCGATGTTATAACTACATGCTCCACCTGTTGTGTGCCGCTCGTTCAACCCAAGGCTAATCTCGGACCAATTTTCGGAATGGGCAATGGTTGCTAGTTCTTCAAGAGCTTCGGTTATGGGGGTGGTTGCATCGACCCCTTCTCCGGAGTCCATAAATGCATCCCAAATTACTGCTGTCATCATCACTATCCGTAGACGAATCACTCCCCACGAGTATCTCTGGTATGATCAGTAGCACTGCCATGCTCTGACTTCCGAAGCTCATCAATGAACCCATGCGGAAAGATATACCAGAACGATTCGGACGATACGTACGATTTGTGACCAAGTAAAGCATACATCATAAGAGATAGTGGCCACTCGTGCGCTCCCCCGAAGCATTTACCGTTCTTGTCGCCAAGTATTGCCCTTGTCTCAAGGGCGCTCCACCGTCAGGAGCTACACTCGAATACTTAAGTGTCTTTTCCAAAGCCGTTAGCATTAGCAGCATTTTTCAAACCCGCACCATCTTTAGTCATGTAACTCTGCTGGTATTCATCAACCATGTCTCCTGCATCTTCTCCATTCATGACACTCGAGTTACAATGTGATCCGGTTAAGCCTGATAACAGCATATTTGTTTCAATAAACATACCATCCGGTGGTGGGCGAAATTGCTCCCATACAACCGGACCGGCAATGTGTGGGCGCAGAAGTTCACCTTTGCTGTATCATAACCAGCGTCCAGCTTTGCTTCCTGTTCTGCACTTCGTCCCATGTATTCACTGTTGCTCTTGCTGATATGCAGTGGCTGTGTATTTTGGTCGTGGATCCCCGCAGGACGGCAGAGTCGACATTGAGATTTTCCACGCTTGCCTTTTATGCAAGTCCTTGAGTGACTGTGAATGTTTGTCGTGCCAATAGACTTTTCAACCGCATGATAAAAGGCAGCCAAATTGTCTCCGGCCGGCGGTAACGTCACCTCACAAGTACGCGGTAATGTGCCACCTCTGTTTCCGCATTCCGTTAGCCACGCTCTCGTGTCGGGAGTCAAGTGATTAGTACAGACTGAATTTAGCTACTCCGCAATGTACAACCGTAGTTCCTCATTTGTAGCCCCACGCGTCAAAATCTCAGGTGTAAACGATGAGCCATAAACGGTCATGTGCAAGTGTAACCGTCCATCCATTTGGGGCTCGACAACACCATTAAATCTAGATACAGTCCCAAAAGCACCAGACTCCGCTCTGTATAATTACGACATTTTTTCGTGTCTTGAGAAGCTGGGCATCGCAAAATTGCCTTCTGTATAAGCTCCATTTTCCTCTCAAACATAAAAGCAGTCATACAAGGGCATTTATTTGAGATGGAAAGTCGCAATCTTGGACTTTCTTTCAGGTTTTTAGGTAACTGCACCCACCGGCATTGTGACTGACCATACGTGCACTCCTCATCATTCCACGCATGTAACTGTGTGAGAAGCATGATCCGGTGTAATGTAAACCATCCTGTTCTGGTGGTGCTACATTTACCCAAACTGCGGAAGTCCAAAACGAAAACTCATAGCAGCCAGTTTGGGACGTGTTTCAGCACGCTCGAAAGGTGAAAATGGAATAGTTCCCCCAATGACGGACAATATCCGCAGTAAGCTTGCGTTCAGTCGTTTGGCTGCAGGCGAATCAGGATGGTTCTTGGCCGCCAGCAGAGACTTCTTAAAATTGACACCACTTGCTAATTGGCCCGGCTTTCGCAACGTCTCTGAATGTGCTGTTGAAGCCGTGGCTGCTTTTCGCACCGCAGCATACCGTTGCAGCTGATTGAAGAGCGTCACGATAAGTGTGACGTTGTTTTCAAATCTTCCATCGTAATAGCGCATCAAGTTGGTCAATCAAATCATATGAAAACGATCCGGAAGGAATCATGTCGCCGCCCATCATAAACAAAGTAGGGAAAGCATATAACCATTTTCATCCCATTCCACGATAGGGTCTGCACCTCTTCGAACCACTGCAATATCATCTTCCTCCCAATGGCATTGATCATTGCATCAATACCTATGGACCTTACCTTATCACCATGGCACATTGCTGGTTGAAACACAGCCGATTGCTGAACCCCCCTCCCCCCTGGTTATATCGGTCCCATAATGCTCGGAATTTCCAGCGTCGTCACGTGCATGCAACGAACCAGCGTCACTGACAATAACTTTTTTATCAATTGAATCTTGCAGATCAGCCAGCCGTTGCTTTGCAGATAGTGAGACGTCGATATAATGCATTCCTTTCGAAAATAACTATGGGTCTGTTTCAGCACATACAACCACGGAAATATACTCTCACTTGGTAGCTCGTACAATCCCCGAAATAAGTGCTTTCGTGCCCTCCACTGTTCCGTAGAGCCAATAAACGTGACTCGCGGCTTGCGATCAATATCCGTCACCGGTAGAACTTTTGTGCATGCCTGGGGGCCACTTGAAGGAAAACAAATCGAGTGTCCTCTACAGTGCTTCGAAAATTCCAATCCAAAGCATCGAGCGGAGTCACACAACATGAACAGTTTCGATCCATACCGGTGGGGCTTATCTGGCATAAACATGCGGGTAGTATTCCGCTTTGATGTAGAGGGGAGAACACCTTCATCAGAAGAAAAAACCGCTGGTAGCGACCAGCCAGCAAGAAACCGCTGCTGTAACTTGTCGACGATGGAGCGCAATTTCCAGAGCTTGTCTCGCGTTCGCTCGGCTTCGTTGTCAACGAAGTGGAGATCGCGCAAGATGTCCGTGCACCGGCTAAGGCCCATGAATTGGCCAAACGTCTCAGCGGGAATGGCACCATCGACAGACATCAACCTATGTGCCGAAAACCGACACTTCTGTGGGCACAACATACGGGCAACGAGAAACCCAATCACATGCAGGATCTCGTTCGTCTGGTAGGCAGGAGTCGCTCTCAAACGGCGGCGAATCTGGACAAAGGTCTCTCGGCGGTCGGCTTGCCTAGAAAATATCCGCCTTGCTCGCTTGTCCACTTGTTGTAGGCTATACCGGCTAGTTTCCGCACCGATCATATTCCATAGTGACTTGGGCATGAAGTAGAAAAAGGTAAGTAGCGGGGAGTGACAAATGCTACGCAGCTCTTGCGTCGGATGTGCATCATCCATGTTGAGCCCAGGATACGCGGGAACGTTTTCCTCGTACAATGACGTTGCTGGTGTCCACTGCATTCCCCGTAAAGCCTCCGCTCGTTGCTGAATCGCGCTCTTGCTCATAGTCTCTGCGCCAATTTGAAACGACGTAACGAAACCTTCGTCCATCTCCACTGCATCGTTGTCAGATACCAAGTCCATGTCATCCTCGGCAGCCGCTGGGCAACCAACACCATCACTTCCATCGTCAAAATCTTCTGCGGCACTATCTCCGGAGCTGAAGCTCTCATAAGCGCCCAAATCCTCGTTGTCTGGAACAAAATTCACGTCGCTCTTGGCGCCTTTTCTTGGTCGCAAAATCCGGTCCGCCGGCGCACCTGGTGTCGCTTCTGGTGTAGCTTCGCTTTCGGCTACAGATGCTTCGGACAGTAAATTCAGGCTAGTGGCTGCTTCTCGATCTGACTCCACCAATGGCAAGTTGGTTGGCGACAGGTCAAACGCCCGAGCCACCGCGCCTGTGAAAGTTCAGCATCTTAGTCACTGGATGCTCCAAACAACTCGTCCAAGGTGTTTAGGGAGAGCTGAGCGGAAATGTCGATTTGAGACGGACGGACGTCGTCGGCCACAGCATCCTCGGCATCTTCTTGGGCTTCTTCGGTTGCGGCGTCCTCTGCTGCTTCAATCCCGCCCTCTCCGTCTGCGCTCTCGTTGCCCTCAATATCCTGAAGCAATCCAGACTCAATAGCAAACAGTACTACTGCATTCTCACCAACAAACGTTTCCAAGCCGTCTGGACTAACGTAGGTCCACTCACGCTGTATGCCACGAGGCCGCTTGGCTGTCCATCCTACAACACACAATTGCCGCCAGAGATGTCTGAAATCTATGTCGCGGGCCGCAGCGGCAACAGCAGCGGTTTTGCCTCGGGAGCTGGAGCGAATGCGGGCCATCCGGCAAATTCTGTAATGGCTGCCATCGTTGGCCATTCCCTCTGTATCCGCGTATCTCATTCCCGTTGGCTCCGTCTCTCCTTCCCGCGCCCTACCCCTGTCCTGTTTATCACTTTTCCGGTTTGACCTTTCGGATCTTATTTGTTTTTTATAACTTGGATAAAGTATTGCCTGAGCCATTTCCTATTGTCATGCGCTCTACGTCGTATAATACGACATAGTAAATCGTCTATGGCGTATCTTATGACGTCGGTAAGCAAGGGGTTAACCTATTCTCTGGATATTTGTATCCGGAGTTCCTAGCAGGATCGCAGAAATTTTTGTACATAACTGCAGTGTACAGTACGCAACACGAAGAAGTATGTAATGACCCATGGATGCAGATGCTTGACCTATTGATCACAGCGACCCAGCGGTTTTCGACGAGTTCTTCGTACCTTGAGCCTTTTCATGCGATATTCTTCCTCTGTGTGTCGTCCTCGTATCTACCGAGTGGATCATCGGGGTGGTATCACCTTCGGCTTCTGATATGGTGTACGCAACCGTAGCTTGCTCCCCCTCGAAATATACATGTAAACGCAAATTGACCTTTCCGGGTTATCAACGAAAAATATGTAATGTGACAAATTAACGATTTTAGTGGAGTTTTCTCTTGGCCGTAATGTTGACCGTGAAAAAACAAAAGTTCTCACTCAGAACACGGAAAACTCCAATCAAAACGAGTACATTAAGCAAGCGTTTGCTGCTTGAACGTTTATACTACCCCCTGATTTCGTGTGTGAGTGTGGCAACGCCTCCAATCGAATTTGATCTCGAACACAACTTCTCTCTATCCGCGTTTTCTTTTTGCTACTTTTAACTCATAAAATGTGTTCTTGAGTTGCTTGGAAAGAAAAATACCTTAATAAGGAAAATGCCATAGAGGTACTACGTTTTGCTGTTGAACATTAGGTTTATTGCCGCTCTTCAGTAATGCACATTAAATGTACTTTCAGAGTTAAAAAGAGTGTAAACTTTGCTCTTTTTTTCATAGGGTATTTACGACCCATAGGGCAAGCGACCAATCATTTTGTGTTGATGACCAAGTTAGATCAAGCCGACCCTCATGGAACCTACCACTTCGAGAATTGATTAGTCACTTGCTCCTCCGATCGTAAACAATATTATTTTGTATAGTATATATAAAGTTTACTTTAGGCAAGAGGCTCGCGAAAGGGTCAAACAATTGGGATCCACGTAAAAAAAAATGGTGGGTTAACTACAATAGCCAAGCAATATTTAGCATTAGGTCCTTTGATCACTTCACAATCCAAACCCAAGAGCTCAAGTCAGTTAGACCCTCGACGCGTAAGACAGCATGCAGTTTTTCAACTCCATTCTCCTGATCATTGCTCAGCACGAATACCATTTCGGGCTTCGAGCAGACCAAGTCTTTATAAGGCGCATAATAATATTGATCAAGGACCCACGCTGTACAGATTGTGCCCCCTATTCTGACACTATAAGAATTTTAAAGTGATATTTATTATTACGGTTTATGACATCTCACAAGTTGCTCCAACGGATATCACTTGCAGTTAAACGTTCTGTTTGACCGACAGACGCCAGATCTAGGTGCATTCACGCACATACGATGAGGTCCTTCCACTCTTCGGAGATGGACACGACGACGTCTCAATAGCAAGAGTTGGTGGTGGTAGATACTTACTGTTTGGGATGGCTTGCTGATGGCGGTGTCGTGCTTGCCGTGTTCGCGA